ATGACATATGTTTTATTTTTAATATATTTTATTGGAACAAAGACAGTGGATACAATAAATGTGCACGATAGTAATTGCATTAGCTATCAAAACTGTGTCGCAACTATGAACGCCCACCTCTGAGAGTACATTGAATTTACATAACATACAAAAAACAAACAATATATATTATTTAAGTAGGTAATTTAAATTAGAAAATGATGTAAATTTAATTTAATATACTTAAATTAACAAATCTTTTAAATATCAGTATTTTATGCGTGTGCGTATAGGTATATGTATGTTTGTATTGTGTATGTGTGTGTGTGTGTATGTGTTTGTATGTGAGCGTAGTTGTGTGTGATTGTGGGTGTGCTGCTTAATGGAATAAGCCTGAGGTTATCAGGTTATCTACTGTCATCTACTCAGAAAGTCTTCTATCTGTTCATATGTAGTAAGTGTATAAAATCAAAATAAAAAAAAGAATCATCAAAATCGGTTCATCCAGTCGAAAGTTCTGACAACAAGCATGAAAAAGAATCCAGTCGAATTGAGAACCTCCTCCTTTTTTTGAAGTCGGTTAAAATACTAGTGATACCCTCGTACCCTACTGCACAGTAATTACGAAGATTATCAATTTTACGTATCACTTCCTCTTCGTCTGTATCTATTTATACAAAAGAGTTTGGGATATTATTTAGAGAAGTATGAGCGGCAGGCCCAGAGTGATCTAAGTTTATGTTAGCAAAAAAGTTATTGACTTTATTCACCGAACGCAACGGATCTATAGAGGATAATAAATCGCTAGGTAATAGTTTAGTGTTGTCGTATGAGTAATGTCTTTAATAGCGTCCCAGAGCTTCAAAAGTTAACACCATTTTATTGAAAAAAAAAATCTTTCTTAGCACTAATTTCTAATAATATAAGTAAATGTAGTTAGTCTACTACAAGTAAAATATAAATAGTCAGGTAGGTACTACAGACTAAACTATAAAACCTTAAATATAAATATCCAGTTTTTCATGTTTATTACTTCTCCATAACGAACTGCAATAGGATCACCAGGAACGTAATAACAGATCTCCCCATCTGAAATAATTTTAAAAAAATAAGTAAATGAATACCTCTTTGACCTTAGAAAAGCTATATAACAGGATTTGATAATCTAATGTTCAAACATACAGCTCTGACACCAAGGTATACCTTGGTGAGAACTTTATTCTTTGGATTCTACAGTTTAGAATTTTCGAATTCATGCGAGCTTTCTCGCTATTCACAAATAGTGGTATAATGGTAAGCTCACAGTACTAAATAGGAATTTGCTAAAGCGTCGTTGGGACCAATTGGATTTCGAAGGCTGGATGCTAAAAAGAAAAAAGAAATAAGTATACGTTTTCACTTTTTTTAATCATATATTTTATTTAAATTAATGAATGTAATAATTACAATATAAAATATATATTACAGGTACAGGTTAAATTACATCTTGTATTGAAAAAATAGTACCGATAATGAGCATTATTTTTTAATAAATATTTTCAATCTTCGTCGTCAGCGGAACTGTCTTAATATTGGAAATCCGGTTCGACTTGGTCATTTTCATCAAAGTCTTGAATATCTGTAACAAATAATGATTGTGATACTTAAATTTTATTTTATTTATTTTATGATAATATTGAAGATTTAAAAAAAAAACATACCTGATCATGAGTATCCCCTAGAATATCAAGTGTACCTAATGACGACATCCATGAGGATGAAGGCTTAACAAATACATAGTTCTCAGCGACTGCATGACTCTCGCTACACTTCACTACACACTATTAATGATTTTAGCTACTTAGCCTTGTGAAAATTGGCGGATTATGTTATTTCTGTAATGCGCGACTAATTTTCTTCAAAAAGAAAACCACGTTCACGTAATGTTTACTTTTCCAACTTTGTGACTCTCCTATTTACTTAAATCACACTCATACTGTCAGATTATTGAAATGCACACTTTTCTGCGTTTAATTAAACTTACCTTGCTTAAACTCGAGTCTGACGCGCTCGAGTTTTTCCAACGATCGATTTTGTTTTATCAATATGATCGGGCTTCGGGCATCGGCTGCCCTAAAAGCGTCTACTGACATGCCTGCCTCAGGGACAAACTAGGGTGCACGGCGGTCGGGGCAGTATCGGCTTGTCTCTACACACATGCCTGCTATTCAGTGTTCGGGGGTATGTTGAGCTAAACACACGCGTTGATGATGGTCCCAGTGTTATCAAAAAAAACAGAAAATCGGTAGGCAGGGCCTTGGCTTTTTCTATGGTGTTACCGCAAAAAAAGGAAATACTGGGTGTCTTCACCCAGTATTATTCTTATTCTTATAAGCAACAGAAAGAAATGTATTTTAAATAAGTAATGTTTATATTACTAGAAAAAAATCCACGCGGCCCTGGCAGGAGATGGGATACGAATCCCCACTCTTCGCTATCCGGGCGAATGCACTGATCAATTATACTACCGCGGCCCTGACGGCCGTATCGAATTCTCGAATTCTTTCTAGCCTTTCTTAAGCTGCAAGGCAGCGCCATTTCTTCACATTATAAGTAACCCACAATGTCAAATTAATATGTATAATGTAAAGGATATTTGAAAGAAGATATAGCAATTAAAGTTATAATTTTAATTTTTTAAGCATGCTTCTGCTCAATGTTTCCATCTAAAGAAAATATTACAAGAAAAAAAAACTATTTCTATTTTTCTAGTAACATTTTCTTTAGATTTAAACATCGAGCAGTTACATACTAAAAAATAAAAATTATTAAAAAATGTATAAATAGTGTTTGTTTTTTTATCCCACATGTGGGGCCCTTCTTTATATACTTCGATCACTCGTGTCCAATCTGCCGCCATCCTGATCGAAATACGTGCGCTCCGTGTGAATGCTACCGATCGACTGATTGAGAAATTGCCCCAATCGCGCTACACACGCGGCAACGATCAAGGCGGCAGGGACAATCAAGGGACCAAGGGTGGTCTCGCGCTCCTGCCGCCCTGCCGCAGGACCGATTTAGAAAATTGCTCCAACTTGCCTACACACATTACAATTCAGGAGGCAATTAAGGGTCATCCCCACTCTTACACCCTAGATTGTCCCTGCGGCAGGCATGTCAGTAGGCGCTTTAGTGCTCGACATTATATAACACACTCACACTTACCTGAAGACAGAATTCATAATCCAGTTTGTATAGACCACATGGTGCGAATGTAAGTTTGAGATGCAGAAATTGCAACGATAGTCGTTTGGCCTATAACAATAGAAAGTCATTATTATTTTGCTATTGAATATGGTTCCACAATGCTCTTAAATAGAGGTTAAGTTCCAAAATAAAACGACTTTAAAATTCTCAATATTAGTATGCATTAAAATATTTAAAAATTAACAGAAAAAGTTTCAAATGTAGTAAGAAGGTCATGGCCAACATTAGTAGGTTTCCCTAAATAGGTCGTTAATTAATTTATATAATTTTTTCTATGCATCTGTCAACATTAGGCCAGGGTCGATAATTTTAAAAATGGTGAAAAGTGAAAAAAAAATATAGTAGGATGAAACCCATTAGAAAAGGTAGAGAATATAATAAAAATGAAAGGAAAAATAAATTACGGGCGATCTGAGGTCGGGAAGGGGGAGGGGGTGAGTTTTTAAGGGTAAAAAATGGTTAATCTCGATTTCCGGTAAAACTGCAAGTCCTATGAAAAAAAGTTAAATGGCAAAGTTGTAGGTAATAAAAAGATCTACAACTTTTGTATCGACACTTTTTTCATATAACCCAAAATTTATGTGAAAAATGCGAATAACCGAGTTTTTGGTTTTTGATTTTTATTTTTTGCAAAAAAAAAATATTTTTTCACGAAATTTGGTGAAAACTTACCTTTGTATGTCCCAAACATACAGTGATTTTTTTGATTTAAAATATTAATTTTTTCACCATATTTTGACTTAATATCCAAAAAGCACCCTAATTTTCAATCGAAAATTCTCACGTCAGAATATCAACTTTTTTAAAAAAGGTGGGTGGGTGGTGGGGTGTTTTTTGTTTGTTGAAATCTCTACTTTCTGATGGTAAAAAATATACACTACTATGATAAATGTTCTCAGAAAATGCAAATTTAATAATGAAAAAAACTCGAAAATATATTGTGAAATAAAATTGGTGTGATTTTGTGTTACAACCATCTGCGCAACTGAAGAATTTGTGGAATCTTTAAAATATACGCTATTCTGGTCAATTGGACGTGAAAATTTTATTGTAGTATTGACTACCTCACAGAAGCTTATCGAAAAAGCCAACTCGATATAGTTCGTGCCAAACACTCCAAGAAACATTAGAATGCGTCACACCCACATTCTATTGTAAAAAAAGGAAGATTAATACAAAAATAAGACGATGGCTGCATGGCTTTGCAAAGGCAAAGGCCTTTCTCAATAGAGAAGAATAGAACAAAACAAAACTCTTCTTTTCACACATATTAATTATATATATTATACTTAACATTGGCTGAACGCACAAACCGTGCATGCCATAAAAAAAGAAGAAGAATTACAGAGTTTTTGGCGGGATTTCATCGAGTGTGGTTGGCGCCTTATTTTAATTATTCTTAAATTCGTTCATAGTGGATATTGTGAAATAAAATTGGTGTGATTTTGTGTTACAACTGCCTGCGTAACTGAAGAATTAGTAGAATCGTCAAAATATAGGCTATTCCGGTTAAGTGGACGTGAGAATTTTATTGTAGTATTGACTACCTCACAGAAGCTTATCGAAAAAGCCAGCTCGATATATTTCGTGCCAAACACTACAAGAAACATTAGAACGCGTCACACCGACATTCTAATGTAAAAAGAAAAAGAGAATAATTTAACTTAAGACTAGGCTGTATGGGCATGGTTCCCTTTGCCTTCCCTGAAAAGGGAGAACTTAAAAAAAAAGAAGAATTACATATGGACTTTTCTTTTTGGCGGGATCGGGAAGCATCACTTTAGCAGTTTTGTTTTTCTTGTAAAAATTGTGTTGTGGCGGATGTTAGTGTCTAATAATGGTGGATTATTAACCACTAAGTGTTCGGGAACATGCACAAGTGTTGACAAGTGAAACAAAATAGCGGAAAGTGTCTTTCGTCGTTCCCTCAAGAAGTCCACGGGGAGGCCAGTAAATCCCCACACTTTTACTGAAACATAGGGAAAGAGGGATTGACTTGACTGCCACTTACTTTGACATGATTTATTGCTTTGACCACGAGTGCTATAGTATTTGTAAACATTTTAATACTTGTTATTGGCTAAATGCACTAGCCGTGTGAAGCCTAGAAAAAAAACAAAAAAAAACATATATTTCTATTTTTCAGAAAAGAATATAATAAATAGAGGAGAGCGGGGCTTGACGAATGCTGAGCTTTATAGTTCTAGACTATGTGAGGTAAAATTTAATGTAGATTTTAAATTCATAGCTATTTTTTGTGTTTTTTTCAATAGACTTTTAGATACAGTCATTGTTATAAACTGCGGTCGTAATGCACAACTGAACCCTTGCTGGGGCAAGTTGTGCCGCAGTTGGGGTTGGTTGTGACGACATAGTTTTTGCCTTTAACATTGATTTAAATCTAAAGATAATATAACTAGAAAATAAAATCACGCGGACAAGGCAGCAGACAGGACATTCATAGGATATTTCTAGTAATATTTTCTTTAGATTTAAAAATCGGACAGTTACATGCTTAAAAAAATACAATTGATTTAAATGTTTTTTAATAAAAAAAAAAACATAAAATAAGATCTCTAGCACTTCTGAGACTACAGCGCCATTTCTTCGCATTGTGGTTTACCTACATATCTATACCCATGCTTAAAAAGATTCCGGTAAGTTGAGAATGGTTGACACCTAACATTAGATGCGGTAAAATTATTTCTTTACCTAACTATAAAAACATAAAAAAAACTAAATCTATAAATCCAGTGAAATTTCATACTCACTTCTTTTGTTATTGCTGGGCTCGGATTACTGTTAATGATATTATGGGTGATGTAAATTGCATCGGTAGCCTGTAATTAAAACGAGGATTTATTTATATATTTAGGGAATACATGTAAGATATAACTAAGTCAGTGACATTATTAGTTCGGTTAAGACATTTTTTTCCAATAAGAACCGAAGAGTAGTTAAGTTTCATTATTTAGCATTAATAAAATATAAGTATGGTTAAGATACTAAACTGGCCTCGACTGTTAAGTATATGGAATACCCTACATTGGTTAGCGGAAAGATGCATTTATATTACCTAGGAAATCTTCTGAAGTTTTCAACAATTAAGTACTTGTCACATCATAAGACAGTCCAACGGCGCTTTTAGCAACTGGGTGGACTTAAAGATCTCTTACAGCGTTACAATGCATATCTATGTGTAACATCACAAGAGTAGTACTTAAAAAGGGCTAAATAAAATTCAACAAAAATGTCTTTCTTACCTTTGCTACTGCTTTTTCCGAGAAGTAAACAGCCATAAAAATTATCCCAGTCGAATATGCAGTTTGCCAAAACACATAAAACAGAAAGTAAATGTATCTTTTCAAATCATTGAATAAGCCAGAAGCAGTGGCCTCCATGAAATAAAACAAGTACAATATGATATTGTTCACTGCTAGAGTCGTCGTCAGGACCAGACCAAAGCCATATTTCTTGCACACTTGGTTGGCAGCATTATACTGCATGCAATATAAATTGGCGCACATCTGGATCTTCTTACATATATACTTCTCCTGCAGCAAATTAGCTTTTTCAATGTTAGGCTTGTCTCGTATGAAGATTGTGTACTCCCAAGCTTGTCGGGTTTTTACATCGCTCAAAAATTTATTCAACTTGGCGTATCTGTCTATCAAAAGAAATAGGTAGTAACAATAGTGGCCCGAAAATATAAGAGCCAATGCATCGCAGAACACTACCTGAAGTAGTCTCTCATACGGAACGTCCATGTCTAAATTGTGCAATGTAATGCATATACACAGAGTGCGAGCCAAATAAACTGCGACTTGACTCAGAGAACATAAAAATGCGAAAACACTTTTCTCACTGTAATCCACAGTGCCGCCCAAACTCTCTATAGCTTTGTCAATCTCCATTGTGCACTTCACTAAAGTGGTATCTCTATACAAATCAAAAGGCAATTTCCACAATGTGAACAAAATATATACCAGTGTAGCGATTCTCTCATATTCGTCACCATATTGTCTTAATCGTGTGTCGAATAATTTACGTAAAATGGTCTGATCCTTCACGTAAGCGAAGAAAACGCAAAAACTGAATACAGCAAACCAAAACAAGAAAAATGCCAACCCAAGATAACTCAGGCCGTATGTTACCACTCCGGACTCCATTTTATATTGTATTACCACGAGACCAAACATCTTTTTGATTAGCATTGTGCCGCGATAGGCGAGAATCGGATTGTCGGATTTCACTTTTAAATTCCTTTGAAATATTCTTCTGAACATTGTAAGCTCTTAATTTTCAGCGATGAAACGACCAAAAGAAGCTTAAGGCCACACTAAAACAATTCGTCACATTATCGTTACACACGTAAAATTGTTTAATTCTAAGTGTTCGCTATGAAAACAATTTAAGTTAATGAAACAAAATTGAGGTATTCGCAATTATCTAATGGATTTTTTTTATTTCTCCTGAACATTCACATTTACAATATCCTACATTATGAACATCATGGGCATTATATTGTCATGAATAACAAAAGAAAATTGTATTTTATGTACAAATTTGATATATCTATTTATAAGCACTAGATACAACAACTTTACATAATTTGAAAATACAAGCAATATTTCATGCTTTATGTTAATTTTTTAACAAGATTAGTTTTATTCAGCCGCCGTGTTCAAATTATAGTTTTAGGAGTGCATAGTAGAAACGGTGAAATCCCTCAACGGGGATCTCGCCCTCGGACAAAGAATTGAGTCTATCTATTCAAAGGGGGATCGCTGCCAGTATAAAAATATAAGTATAGATAGTTAGGATCATAGATGAATGATTGGTTTCGCTTCACCGCTTTCGGGTGAAGCGAGACCAATCATTCATCTATGGTTAGGATAATAATAAAGATATGTTTCACACCAAAAAATCTATTAAATACATAGACATGCATTTAAAGGTACGAGTCAATAGGAGACTTTATCAACTAGTACTTAATCTGTGACTATCATTCATTCCGTTCATTCTCTTTCCGGTCGACTTAGTTTTGGTTTTGGAGGTCATGGTACGAAATTAAAGCAGAACCTAATCAGTTCTGATTGAGATCTGAATCGGTATTTTGGTCGATCGTTGTAAGCACCCTGGTATTATTTTCCCGAATACTCTGAGACTTTTATGAAACGAGTTCGATTCCCTGGATTTCTATTCTTTCGAATCGGCATATTTCTCTACTGTGTGTTTTCGTATCACAAATCTTTCAGATACTTATCCTGAATTTTAATATCTTATTTGATATATATGTTTGGCTTTTCTTCATTGCCACAACGCGTTGAGATCGAATAGCATGTCAGCCACGACACGAATTTCGCTATTTGGTCTTTCTGTCATTGCCACAACGCGTCGTGCGCGTTTTCTTCGAAGCCATAACACGAATTTCGCCATGTAGATATTTTACTGTGACCACAACGCGTTGTGAGCTATTTTTCCGCTCACTGAGCGTTTTCGATCTTTGAGCGTAACATATATATTCCTACTGGTATATGTCCGGTCCAGATGCGCAGATAACCAGGGCAGCCATATTTTCGACACCTCTTGTAACACTTCCCGAGGTGTAGGAAGGCGTGAAACAAGAGCACGTGCAAAACATTCTATTTGTGAATAGACTAACAAAAAGTTCGGTTACTCATTCCTTTTAACACAGTCTTACTAGCCTACGGGAAAGCGCGCTCAATCCTTTGAAGGATAGGGGAAGGTGGTGTAAAAAAGAAGTCAATTCTATTCTTCTAAAAGATTTTGCTTCAGCTTCTAATAAATGTACGGTAGTTATGTTTTTTAGAATCAAATAACTTTTAATATTGCATTGTAGTATTTTTTTATTAATATCAAAGTATATTTCTGTTTTCATAGAATTAACATATTATGCCGACTATTCCAGAGGAGATTTGTCACATTATCATATTACATGTCAGTCTGAACACGGTTTATGATGAATACCCATTTTGAAGTGCAAAAGAAATAAATACCGTTAATAATAACATTCATGTAAGTTTACAACGATAGTTAGTTTTAGCCTTAGCGACACCAATGCGTTGTCAGCTTGAACACGGCTTTCGTGGCGTAAAAGAAAAACACAACTTTATTATTAACGTTTCATGTATTTAGTTTAGAAAAATATAGTATCTGTCTGGAATTATAATAGAAAAGTGAAAGGATGACAATTACTCGAATTAGTCTTGCTTCTTAGTTTTTGCCTATTTTCTTGGCACCAAAGGCACTTTTACCCATTTTCCCAGGCATGGCTAGTGTATTCATTTTTGAATCGAGTAGACATTTGCGACACCATAACATTGTCTGCCTGAACATGACTTTTGTAACGTAAGAGAAATAAACACCTTTAATTAAAATTATTATTAACATTTATTCAGGTATAGGTATAGTTTACAAAAATCATGATCCGTCTGTGATTATAATGGAAAAGTGAAAAGATAACAATTGCTCGAAACTTGTAGTCTTGCTTCTTAGTTTTTCGTCTATTTTCTTGGTACCAAAGACACTTTTACCCCTTTACCAGGCATGGCCAGTGTGTTCATTTTCGAATCGAGTTTGGGGAACGCATCCTTCGCCGGTTCAGCGATTAGTTTGAATTTCCTCACAATATCTGCTACAGCGATTCTGGTAGTATAGTTTGCGAATTGAATACCTAAAATAATTGAATTTAACAGGGTTACATACAATAAAAATAATACACAGTTTTATTTGTGTTAAGCTCTTGAGAAATATAATATAAGCTGATTCAAACATATTAATAAGCCCTGGGGGCGGGAGGGCAGGGGTAGAAATCTTTCTGGTCAACCTAGAATTCATGTATCAGCAACAGTTATTAGATACCCCACTCAACATACTTCGTCCATTATATTTTTCTTTCTTTTTCGTAATATGGCTCCTAATTTTTTCCATATTAATTGACGATTACTATCATGCTTTAATGAAACTCGCAAGATTATGACGAATCGATTGTCGTAAGAATTATCAAAATTGGCCTACATGTTTAGTCTTTAGAGTGCAACAAAGGAACAATATATTTTTGTTATGATACGGCTTGCAGCCGACGGAAGCGGCAACTGCAGCTGTCAACGAGCTGTTGACCGGTCGACGGCAGCCGTCGGCTAGGAGCCGCTTGTCTATATATGATGCTTAACGTACCAGGGCAGTTTCTCGGTCCATAACTGAAGGGCATGTAACTGCAAGGTGGCATAGCGTCGTAGTTTTCCGGTAGAAACCGATCCGGGTCGAATTTTTCCGGTTCCGGGCCCCAGTACTTAGGGTTCCTGTGCACTCCGTAAATACATACATTGACAGCGGCGCCAGCAGGTAGTGTGTAGCCGGATGCTAAATGAAAATTCAGAAAACATTTATTACAACACAATATAACTTTTCACTAGGTCTGTTGTATTGTTAAACTACATTGAGTAGCTCTAAAGGGTTTGTTAGGTTTTCTTGGAACGAAGTTCCTTTTTGGAAAGTGGATGGGGGCTTGAGAAAAAAAAATAAGATTTTTCCGTCACAACCTAGCGAAGCCGCTGGGTGGGTTACTAGATGTGCGACCACGCTGACGGTGGTGGCTGTGGACTTGGTTTAATGTTTTGTTAAATAGTTTGACGGAATAGGGGGTCATAAATCCCATCACTTACCACGCGGGCCCAGCGTGGATTAGTGGGTGGTATAACAATATAAAAAAAATATAACTTCGCGAAGTCGATTGATAGGCAAAAAAGGAAATATCTGTTCGCTTCTCGGGTTCGAACGGTTGGCGCGCAAAATGGGCAGTTGTATTTACTGAACATAATAAAAACAGTGCATATTACGTTTTCTCAGCAACGTCTTTGGTTAAAATAATTTTTTCTTTTAAGATAACTTTGTACTGTCTGATATACGACCCTAGACAGGGACCCAAATCAAAGAACGTTGTACAGTACAATGTGATAAGGATGATAATTTACGTGGCCTACCTGAGAATATTGCATGTTCCCAAAGCTCTGAATGGTCCTGGGTATATGTAATTCGCGCCTTGGACAAGTGGCCATCTTCCTATTTGAGCGCATGCTAACTTTATGGTACTACGCTAGTTGAAAATTAAAACAATATAATAATATACTATTATTTCAAGTTTGTTAATTCCGTACAATAAATTAAATGTCTGATTAACATAACGCTTAGGACTTATTATTGACTGAATTATTCCTTTAAGGCGTAATTACATTTGGTCGTTAGCCCGTATTCGGGTACACTTTCGATCAAGTATTGCTGATCGAAGGGATGCTCGAAAGACATTACTCGATGTCGGGGACCCGAAGCAATACTTACATTGATTACTGGAACACGGATAAACCCTGCACCCGCGTTCTATTTGGAACTGTTTTCGTTATTTCGTTTCGTTCCAACATGAAAGCGGGTGAACGCAGTTGTACACGACTCCGTTCATTTACACTTAGTTGTTTGTCCGAATTCCATAGGCACTCGTATTCGAGCTAACGACCGAGTGTAATCGTCTCATTACTTTAAGAACAGACGCGAGCTGAGAGATATTTGAGAAATAGGTATTTAAAAAAAACTATTGCTGTCGCGCATTGGCAAATACCGTGCGATAGGAAGGTAGCAGTAGATATTTTTTTTTATAGTTAGGTCCGACAAATGACTTCACTGCACCTGATGTTAAGTGAAGGTGAAGTCCAGCCGCGAAGATAGCTGATACAGCAGTTCTACCTGCCACACTAGCCATCCTCATCCTGCCGGCCTGCATGTTGCTTCTTCAGTGCTGATAATTGCGTATAAAATAGGCAAATTTGAGGTTTTGCTATCGCCGCTTTTCCCCTCGTAAATAAGATATATGTAAAAGAAATTTTGCCCATACAATAATAAGTAGTTCTACTAGGCTTCTATGTTTTTCTTTTTTGTAAATGCTTATTGAATCTCCACATTAGGCGTCATAAGTGGTGCTATATATTTATGAGGGCGTCTAGTTTCTTTAAATCACGATTTACCGGAAAAAGGCGGACATAGGAGCATAGAATGAGTAAAATTTTATTTTATGTATGAAAATCTTTTCTTTTGTGATAAAAAAGCAATCAATCGGGAACGTTTGTATGGAAAAAAATTGCCCGACTCGATCCCCTCTCAATTATTATTCACTTACGCAATTGAATATCTTGATCTATCTTTCTTCCGGTGATAGCTGCAGGACCGTAAAGTCGCAGTGTTTCCTTTAAAATTCTATCTAAGTATCGCAGTTTCGGTAGGTCTTCTTTTTCCAAAAGACGGTCTGAATCACCAAGGACACCGTATAGTCTAGGATAATAGAAGACGTTCTGAGTATAATACAATAAAAAGGGTATAATGTCATAGTTAAACTTATCATTAACATGTTACAACATTTATAGTTACTAGTGAGATATGATGTTTAATTTTATTATTTATACGAAGATAATACATTAAAATAACACAAACTTAAAAACTATATAGCTTAACCTACTTAACTACATAAATAAATAATTTACAAAATAAAAAACATATCACCCCCAGCGCCGCCATCAGGCATGGTGCCCAATAGACTGGCAGTATTGCCGCGTAGGATGGCAAGGTTGATCCATTGACTAAGATAGCTGCTAGCCTTTAGATCACCAGTAACTTCGGTGAGCCTCTTTGACAATTCCTTAATAAGGGAACGAGCGCTTGGACCCCATTGGCCCATAGTCTCAACACCTATTGGTAGTACCTCCATAGCTGAAGGCGCGGCGGCGGCCGGAGCAAGCGTATCCACGCAGGTTGCGTCTCATACAAGAGGACGATCCTGCTTCCAAGGAATGAGCGTCATCCCATCAGGTCTCTTGCCATCGTCGCGGAAGATGCCATTAGGCTCCAGGACTGCTGGTACGTTGACAGCGTCAAGAGCCCTTCGGATGACGTCATTGATGCAGGCGTGGTGGGAGACGGCCAGCGCTCATTTGGCATGAGAGGTCATAGTGTCGCAGCTCACCGACGCGAGTACCGCAACGTCAGCGATGGGGATGATTAGTCTTGACACAAAGTCTAAGCGAAATCACAAGAAACAGAATGCCCTTATCAAGCAAAGTCCCGATATTGGCTCAAGGTAAAGCTTGCAGCCAGTAACCAGACGCTGCCTGAAATACGGCCCGAAGGCGAGCACGCTCAGTGGCGCTTTCGGAGGATGCTAAAAGATCACTCTGAATACGCAAACAGAGCGGCTCGTCCCACTGCTTCTGAGACGATAAAGAGGATAGTGAATTCACTCCCTGGCATACCCTAGACCATGCGCTTCTGGCCTCTGCAAGGTGAGCCAACTCCACTACGCCTAAAGAAGGGCATAATATTCTATTATAGAGTTCGGCTGTACCGTATGCAGAAGACAGAAAAGCGGGAAGGACAATATGAGAAATATGGCGAGTACCTAGACCTCCGAAACGAACAGGGAGAGAGGCCTGCTTCCAAGCATTATTGGTAAATGAGCAATTTAGAATTTTGGAGTGTTTTTCTGAGTGAACTGTCAATAATTGACAGTTGTCCTGGAAAAAGCCAAAAATGAGTACTACGTAAAAAATATATGAATTTTGGGGCGAAAGCGCAAAAACGAATCAAGTATAAGGCCATGTGGGGATTAATTTAATTTAATTGTGCGATATTGTTTCGATTCTAATATTTATTCTTAATAACTGTTGCTTAAGACTTTATGGTGATTTTATTTCGGTACTCGATAATTTTTAAAATAATCACTGTTATGTAAACTCAACATCTAGAGGTTGATATAAGATCATAAAAACTGCTCTAGGGTCAAAATAATTGTAGTGAAAATATTAAGAGATTTGAGAAGAGCTAGGTTTTTCTCGAATGTACCTTTTCTGCCAGACTATAAGAATTTCCTGTATTTTAAAACAAATACGTTTAGAAAATCAGTCATTTTGGGAAAAGGTTATTTTGATATTTATTCAATATATCGGTCCAAACAGTCCGGAGGGATAAATACGTCCAAAATCATTTAAGAGAGCGTCACCCACTTCGATAGATAAAACTAATGACGTCAAATGAGGATTGTCAGTGGTTGTAATGGATGATGGTGATGAAGGATTAAATGTGGGTAGATAATTAAGTAATCAATAAACTTACTCCTGATAAACTTTCTTCTGCATTTCTGGATATATTGCTAGGATTTGACATGCGAAGCAAATTGTTGCGGTGGATGTATCAGTACCAGCAATAATCATTACAATCATGTCCTGCATCAACTCTTTATCTGTGTATTTTACTTCTGATTCTGGGCTCAGTACGAGCTCTAGGAACGACGGGTAGAGCGATGCATTGTTGTCTATGAACAGATATTAAGAAGCATTTATATGTATCTAACACTACTTATAAAAAAACTTCTTGGACTTCTTTAACCTGTACAACCTCCTACTGCGATATAGTAGGTATACTTAGTTGTGGACGCGGTGCAGTCTCTCAACGGGGATCTGGTTTTTAGTAGATAGTATGCTTAGATTAAAGCAAAAGATAGTATACCGTAAGCGCTCGTAAGCCGCGCATACTGCTTAACGGCTTCTCCGTTTCGCACCCGTGAGACTTGTGAGAGGCTATGTGTTAGGTCCGTTCGTTAGTATGCCCCTTAAGGGCCCCAACGTCTTTAAATAGAGGTTTTGCCTGTGTAAAATAAAGGTATACTAAGAGTTGTGCTTACTTGCACTTCATTAGATGGCATCTGGCCTATTCTTCATGAAATAGACTTTTACGTATAGAATTTTTAATTTACATATAATATTTTGGATAGATAATAAGTGTCGAGGATCTCATCAGCGCAGTTGCTAGGGCGTACGGTCTGCGATTGCAAAAGTTTTCTTTCGCAATGGCCTGTCATTGGATGGGTGACTTAACAGCTTATTATCTCGAACTTCTCCGAACTCTGGAAGGCATTTTAAGCCGTTGGTCCCGGTTGCATGCCAGATGCAGTCATTAACATCCACCAAGTAGCGGTGTGTGCACGTGATTAGGGTTACCATCCATCCAGATTAGTCCGGACATGTCCGGACCTCTAGATTTTAGTCAGGATTTTGTCCGGATTTTTATTACATTGAATATAAATAATAAAAGTACATATTGATTGAAATACCATACCATTGTATTTAAGCCAGTAATGGTACCATTTTGTGACAATAAAGTCCGGACTTTTTTCGAAATGTCAGGACTTTTCAAATTCCTAAATGGTAACCCTACCGGACTTTTGAAATTCCTAAATGGTAGCCTTCCATAGGGAAGGCCTGCCACCGCCTGTGCCCCAGAAGCAGGGAGATAAATAGGAAGGTCATGATGATAAGTATATTCTATTATTATGTATAATCAGAATTTCATATCCAGTCACAATTAACGGAATAGACTATTTATGGTTTTATTTTTTATATTAAAAATAGTGAAAAGTACTTCCAGGCCTACAACCACCACTACTAACCAACCATCCAACCACCACAGCCTGAAGGCGCGTGCATTGCCAGAGATATACTTACGCGCTGTGTACTCTTATCGCTACCCCGTGGACCCCTCGAAACCTTACTCCTTGATAGAAAAACACAGCTAAAAGATATTGTTATTTTGCTGTGGTCTGCCATACCAAAGTAGTTAACCACCGTGAGACTTCACAGTTTTGCCAGATTAAATTTCTTAAATACATAAATGTATGGCAATTAGATTATAACAATCGGTAGATACTTTTTTCTTATAATTAAATCTAATAGCAGTGTCGCAGTGGTCTTGGCTGACCTGATAGAAACACTCAGCCGGGTGCTATCTAAAATTGTTAGTCCAAATTTGTCATAAAAATGTTAAATAACATATTTTTGTTGGACGCACAGCAACTTACCATTAATCTTTTCTTTGTTCTTTTTCATTTCTTCCCTTTTCGCTTTTATTACCTAGTAAATATACAAATTACGTGTTAATTTTGTCGACCCCATCATTATTAAAGATGTAATACAAATTAAATATTAACCTGTAATATGAATTCGTTTAATACTTTACGAGCTTCTTTAAGCGTCGTGTATTGAGGGGTCAATTTGAAAATCCACTCTCCCAACCACCCTTGCCAAGCGCGAAATAATCTGTCGCAAGCGATTCTCATTATGATTCCAATATTAACAACGCACGGATGATTGGTATCGTCTTGGGAGTTCACTTTGACGCCAAATGTGGTCTCTGCAATTACGAAAATTTTAATAATAAGTACATCAATTATGCAAAACTGGTCTACTTCGCCTATTTTCACAATTTAATGGTATATGGTTTTTTACTTTGAGGATCAGCAGCGGACATTAGTAAGATATCTGTTCTTCAAACGCGCTGTGAGATTTTTTTTAACCTCAGGAAAATGCGTAACGCATACCCCACCACCTGGCTCAGCGGCTGTTCGAGAGGAAGGGGGCCCTGCCCACTAAAAACCTGACGATGCCCCTCATCTCACCGATGGGCCGGGTACAGTCCACCATGACTGACGCAAAATGGTGTATTATGCGAGAAATCGTATTAAGCGTGATCGTATTAAACGGGTTCTACTGTATATCAAAACAATTGGGAGATATTTTTTTTCTAATTATAAAGTCAATATTAGTGACACAAACATCTTGGCCGCCCTTTAACTAGCACCCTCCTCCCATTCCCAATAAGCGCTGTGAGCGCTTTTTTTTTAAAGTAGGTTCTGGCCTGCCGACCCACTTCAGAATTGGCATATTTTGCATTCATGATGTTTGTACCCGCGTAGGTCGTAAAATTGGAGGTTTTGAGTGGAAATCCGAGTCAGCGGAAGATGTTTACTAAAATGTGTGAAACCTATATAATGGCAGCAGGGTTGCTAATAATCACAGCGGTAGATTGTGTAAAAAAATAAGTTTGATAGATAGATTAGGGCGAAAATGTCACCCAATACTTTACCGGTTACGATACCAGTTTCTGTGTCTATGTTAAAACGAGTCAGATTGAATAACGTTTAACCGTGTCATAGATTAATTGTTTACAAAGGTACATATACTTACCACATACAATATCAAATTCATACGCAGAAACATAAGGAAATAATTCAAATTCTCCAGTATTTACACGTTCACACAGTTTCTCGACTAGTTTTTTGCTATTATCTATGAATAATGGAATGTACTGGTCTATCATCTTTGGAGTAAATGCTCTCATCATAGCCTTTCTGTGATCTTTCCACATTGGAACTGAAACATTACATAAAAGAATATTATTTTGTCTATTAGGGGGTCTACTCTCTTTCTCTGAAACGAACTTTCGATAACGAAGTTCAAACGAAATTTAATTTCGTCAATTATACCTAATTTGAACGATAAACCATCAAATTGAAGCTTTCTGTGAGTAGGCTTAGAAAATTTACACCTCAATCTATATTTCGACGACGAATATTTTTATAATTAAAAACGAACCAGAAGCATAGTAAGAAAAGTACGAAGTTTCGATCCAAATTTCGTTTTTCGTTAAATTAGAGTAGGCCTCCTGGGCTTTGTATAAATCTTGTCTGTTAAAAAGCACTTGTGAAAGTCATGAGGTATTTTAATTTGACGGAATTCTAACATTGTAGAAGTGTTGCCAATGATAAAACAGTCTTTTAATCCAGTAATTTGTGAAACAGTTTAAAGCGGCATTTAAAAAAAGCTTTCTTGAATTTCTGATTTCAAATTAGAAAAACTAAAACTGGAACATTGACTGATAATATAAAAATGGTAATCAGATTTTATACTATCACATTATTAAATTTACAATAATGAGGGAAATTTTTTCTTCCACAGGTTTCCCTAACCACTATTCATAGGTTACAAACCTTTTTTACGAAAACCTTTATGTCAGCAAAATCTTCGCTTCTTCTAACAATGTTGATAATATGTGTGATTCTTTTATATTGATGATAATGACTATGATGAAATTAGTGATAATGATAAATAAATATAAATATGATACATTAACAAATATTTTGATTGATATTTTTTTAGCCATTTAAAATTAAATATTATTTAACTCATTGAGTTCACAAAACATTTACATTATCATGTAAATTGCTAGACCTCATTCACTTATATTTTTTTATTTTATGTCCAAAAACTTATATTCATTTAAATTACTATTTTATAAAAATGACCTTTGTTATTATGAATAAATACAATGATTTCCGCCAAAGTCAACGTAGAGGAGGAACCATGTTGGAAAATAAAAGGTTTGCATTGAGTAAAATAGAACGTCAAGGGTTTTCAACATCAGAACAAGTGCAAAATAAATAATTTATAAAAAGGACTGGACTAAAGGCTTATGATACCTGAACTGTCAAAACATGACAGCTGTTAGAATTACGTTGAATTAAAAATCAAACTGCGTTGGAAAATACGGCTGAAGCTGAAGTACTGGCTTACAAGCATCTTACAAGGGATTCAGCAAACATTAAAAATTAACTTTACAGACAAATATAAATTTTTGAACTTCTTGCTTTTAACATTAAACTTTTCTTTACTTATTGTGTAAAACATATTGCGTTTCATTATTTTTTAATTATACTTTTATCCTCACATTTTTGGTTCATGTATGAAGTACAAACAGAAATGCATTACAAAGATCACCTTACCTGGAGCGTTGATGATGTTTGTACCAGCAAAGGTTTGAAAGGTATCGTAATATAAACTCTTATTCAATTGGCTCTTCGTAACAACTTCCAAGTCCTTTGCATCTGTCATAACTGGAATAATATTTATCTAATTGGACAACTTAAGGATACGTGAATTAAAGTTTAGTGCTTATTTTATAGATTTGGCAGTAGTGTTCGTTCGAATAGAAAATTTTCCACAAGTCTACAGGACAATTTTAGAATATGTAACAATTGGTAATATCACATCTAGATCACGTCGCTTTTGTCCCAATGTGAATTACAACATAGTTTTCTCAATACTGAACAAAGAATCACGAGCAAGATGATATATTGGCGCTTGTTCCTCGCTAAAATCGCGGAAATAAATAAGAAGAAATATAGAAGGATTTATATAACAAGGTGTTATTGTAATGATGTTCAAGGATCCAAAAGTGGTGAAAATGTAACAAAGGTTTTGTTTAGATGTTTTGACGATGGCCAAGGGAGTGTTTCGTAGCTCGTCAATCATGATACAGCGACTTTTCACGATATGCCTAGTAATTGACAATATAACGAATCATAACATAATTATAAAGTGGTTAAAATTAAATTGACCTGATATTATGATAATTAAAAACTGATTTCGCTATAATGCGACGAGATAAAACAAACGATTTCGAATCCGCTATACGTGATGTAGCCAGGGAAGCAGCATGTCGCACGTAGTTGGCGACATGCTGCTTAGAGAGGTAAAAAAAGTAGACAGAGTTGAGGCAAGAAAGAGAGAAAAAGAAAAGAAAGAGAACTGAGACAAGGTGCCTATATTACATTTGACAAAACCGTGCGTACTTTAGCTATATTACATTGGAAAAGTCTACATTTTGCTAACCTAAGATTCTTTTTTCTTGAATTTTCACAAAAGTAATTAAGCATCTCCGAGGTACAAATCGTAATGACGTTTAAAACTACAGCAAATAACAGTTAGAGCAATGAAGCTGGTCGAAAAATACATAATTATGAGTTTGTATCGATTAACCATTACATCATCGAGAAATAAAATAAAACTTGTTAGTGTACACATAAGTAAAAAGATATTACCGTAAATTAGCTGTGGCCCAAACCAAGATTTCATGAGTCCACCTTTGCTTATGCTTTCGTAAGAAAAATTTCTCACTAACTGAAATAAACCTAAAACAATAAGAAGTGGTATATAGATAACAACATCCTAGTTTACGACAGTTAAATTATAAGAAAGTAATGTAATAAAAATGTTACTTTACAAAAATAAGTTTAGTGCTTCCTTCCGGATAGCGGAAGGCGCTGCGGTTCAAATCCTATCTGATATCGACAATAGACCTAGTGGATATTTTTCCAGTAAATATTTTATACAGACACATTACCATTACATTAGCGATGAAATAAACATCAATATATACCTAGTCAGGTCATAAATTCTGTCACATGTTTAATATAGAATAATTAAAACAAGTTTATTCATTAAGTAACCATTTATATACCTAAATGAACTTAACAAAACATAGATTCTTATGACGATAAAGTTTATTCAAAATGAAGGCCTTCAATCTGCGCGGCCAGTCGTCTATTGCAGCACGAAGAGGGTCCATGTCAATATTGGCGGCTGCCTTAATCAAGGATGTCTTGACCTATATATATATATGATGGTGTTTCTATTATATATATATATATATATACAGTGGAGATCGTATAATAGAAACACCATCAACGGTCCTTGACATTATTTAAGATACTTCACCGCAATCGTTTTTATTTTAAAATTAATCAGTAAATAGGACAACAGCATGTTCAACGGTTTATCATTTATAAGAAAAACAATATAAATCCCAATACACAAGTGCAGTTTCAATATTACATTACGGACAAACATTTAAATTAGTTTTAAGATATGAACAATAATGGTGAACTAATTAATTAGAAACAACAACAAAAAAGTATAAAAAAACATTTTTTTTTTAGTAATTAGTATTGTTATTTACGAAATAGCTACTATCCACAGCCTAGCAATAGTTATAATTAATATACATATAATGGCGTATCCCTTATTTCCAATAACATCACTACAACGACGTGGCATTGCTTTAATCAATTTTATATTTTTTTCTAGGGTGGCATCCCCCTAGGAAAAGGGGGGGATTGTCTATGTTGAAGCATGGAATTCACCATGCTTCAAAGTATCTTCATAACGTTCGTTTTGACTGGTGTTAACGTTTGTGTGAGACTTTCTTTTTAACAATATACCAGAGATTTTCTATCGGGTTTAATTCCGAGCTATTCTTGCTTGCCAGTCTAAACGGCTATACGCTGTTCGCTAAGGTAATATTTGACACTATTGGCCGTGTGTTTAGGGTCATTGTCATGCTGAAAGATCCAGGTTACGGGCAAGTGATCGTCCGAGTAGGGAATCATTGTGTGCTCTAAGATATTTTTGTATTGCCATTGATCCATTGTACCTTCAATCTTCCGAACGGGTCCAAATCCAAGTCCACATCCGGAAAAACACCCCCAAACTTTGATATTACCGCCACCATGCTTGACTATACTCCTTGGGTATATATAATTAAAAGCATTGTTTACAGTACGTCTAACATAGCGCTTTCCATCGGAATTTACCATATTTATTTTTGTTTTTTCTGAAAATAACACTTTTTTCTATTCTCGTACCGTCCAGTTAATATATTTTTTAGCGAATAATAATCGCTGCTCTAGGTTTTGCTTGGTAAGAAGCGGTACCTTCAGAGCGATTCTGCCAAACAATTTAGCTTCCACTAATCTTCGACGTATCAGTCATGACGACATGTTTTTCGGGTCATCAGGCGAAAAAACTTCATTTTTAATCTGGTTGGAGCCTTAACTTGGGTCCTTTTAGCAACACGAACAATTAGCGTATCTTTTCTGGGAGTGGTTTTCCTTGGCCGAGCCTTTCTAAGAATATTTTCAACAGTTCCATGTATTTTATAATTATCAATTGCAATAAAAACTTTCTTAACAGAACAATTTAAATGTTCTGCTTTTCTTCTGTACACTCACTTATGATCTATATGTAAATTAACAATTTATTTACCTAGTTGACTAGTCACAACTTTTATTCTTGGCCATTTTAAACAAAATAAAATTCAGATTAAATTTTGAATAGCCGCCAAAATAATAGAAAAAGCAAAGAAAGAAATGTTATTCTCCAATTTCAAAAAAAGAACGAGCTATGGATGCTGTTACAAAAAAATTCTAATTAGGCGTCCAAGCGGCCAGTAACAGAAAATAAACTCCTATATATTATGTAAGACTCATTTTGTAATTAAAAGTAAGATATGTTTTATATTTTTGCATTTAATGATGTTTTTATTTGAGTGGTTTGAGTTTATAATATTCAATGATTAATAATTATTGAATGTGTATATTTTTTACGAACATTTGTACGTTGAAGTTACTCTTTATTCATAAGAAGTGTTTCTATTAATATGACCACCACTGTATACACACTCGAGAGCAATGAATCCGGGTCACTTAAAAAATCTTAAAAATCTCGCAAACTGAGAATGCTTGCTTAATTAAATAAATTGCGTTTAATAGACAATTAAATACTCTTTAAATGAAAGTAATAAAATTAATGAGTAACTACATTTTATTTACAAAAATGCTATTTGGTGTGAGTGTTGGAAATATTTATTTATTTATTTATTCCTCTGTGAGAGCAATTTTGAGCTTACGAAGCATAATTGGAGGGGTGGGGGGGGGGTCGTTGTTTTACGTCTCCTAAGCACGTTCCATGCATGCTTGGGTTTGGGTTGATATCCGGGCTGCGTGCTGGCCACTCCATACGAGTAATGTTCATCTCTTGAAGTTAGTCATTCACAATCCAACCTGTATGAGGTCAGGGATTGACATGCATAAAAATGGCATCCTCACCCAAATTGAACGCTAGTTAAAGAGCCGTTTTCTATGAACACCAGTTATGTGCGACTTTCAGAAGAAATTCCGGCCCACACAAGTACAGACCCACCATCGTAGGCTACTTTTTCTTCAATGCATGCTTGTTTGAATCTTCCCCAGGTCTACTATATACTATGCGTCTTCCATCTTGCTTGTAAAGCAAAAATTTTGATTCGTCGGAGAACATAACTTTTGACCAATGACTACATAGTATAAAGCATAGTCACTTCCCGCTGTCTGTCCATAAGTATGGTTAGATCTTTAAAACTACGCAACGGATGTTGATATGTTTTTTTAATAGATAGAGTGATTCAAGAAGAAGTTTTATATGTATAATACATGCATGATATAATAGAGAAACACTCTGGTTACACACACACTGATTATTTCAGAGGTTTTTAGTGTAAGGTCGTAAATAAACACATTTTTTTGCGCTTACATTGCAAACGCTGGCTGAACCCTACGAGATAGATCAAAATAATGTACTACAGTATTTTAAACCTTAAAAGGGTCTACAAAATAATCCTCGATGGTATGTGTCTATCTCTTAGGGATAATCCACAATAACCATTTTTTATCCTTTACTTTTACGAGAAAATAATACTCGTAGCTTATATAAGAAAAAGCTATTTTAAGCAATACAGTATTAATCCTTTTCCAATTAAGTGCCTTAAATACATTGTGTATATAATATAGATCAATATGGGATATCTTTTGCAATGACTTTTAATAAATCGCAGGGTCAAACTTTCAACGTTGCTGGCTTAGATTTGAGCGCTGAGTGTTTTTCACATGGCCAATTATATGTCGCTCTTCCCTCCTCCCCTCTAAAGGAAACATGTTTGTATTGACTAATAACGAAATGTTGTATATAAAGACATTCTGTAGTATATTTAGTATCAGCATTGCACCCGAGCAAAGCCGGGGCGGGTCGCTAGTCGTCGCTAATCAATAGTCCAATTTAAGTGGTTCTGGGCATATCTTAGTCTTGAAATGCGATGCCCACGCTCCAGTTTAGGGCCGTTTGCAGTTCTAAGTAGTTTCAAGCTAGCTTCAGCAAGTCGTCGTCTTACTGTCCATGCGCTTGGATGACTTCCTCCGAGGCGAAACTGATTTCTAATTTCAGTTCCTGTGAGAAAGCGATTTTGAAGCATGGTGTTCACCAAGTATCGATCTTCTCGTGCTGTGGTACACCTGGTTCGGCCTGTTCCTGGTCTGCGTAGGTAAGAGTCAGTTTCCTCGTAACTTCGGAGTACTCTTTGTACTGTTGACAGCGACACACCGACAGTCCTGGCTGTATCGTGCTGATTCCGGCCGGTTTTCAGCATTGTGAGAATTCTGGTGCATTCTTCAGATGTAAGCGACATGATTGCAGCTTGAATAATTAATATTGAACACTAGCGACATGGTTTATACTCGTATGAATGATAAATGACAGATTAGAAACAACAGAAAAAAAATGCAGTAATTTCTTAGTTCCATGTTCGAGTCTCTCTATTTCAAATTTGTTTTTTTTAAGATATAACTTTACAATACCTACGAAGTTTTAATATCTTCATTTAAAGAGAATTTAATTGTATATTAATTAGAATTTATTTCGAGACTTTCAGGAATCTTTATGTACGCATTCATTGGTTTCGAGTGTATATATGAACTTAAGTCTATACTTTATAATATGTTCAATGTTAGGTACTTACTTTCTTCATTTGCTCCGAAAAATTCGAAAGAAGAACCAATCAGGGGCCAATCAGCGTTAAATGATGGGACCTTTGAAGCCATCTCATACATACGACCATATTTAACTTTAAAAAGTATTGTTAACAAAACCACTAATACTATAAATGAGAGTATCATTTTTGATACTGTGTTGTTAAAATAATTATGATTACAAAGTTTTCCGAGACGTTATGGAGCTAGTACGTCTCTCAGCCGATAATGAGATTTAAGTAATTATAAAAGTGAATATAAATGAAAAAAAGATAAGTACCTACAAAATTAACTTTTCCTACGGACGGAGTACCTCTTATGTCGGAAATGATTATGACAAGTTATTGTTGTTGTTGTCACAAAATATTATTTAAAATAACAAGGTTACGACCCTAAAAAAATGCTGAAGGTACCTTAAACAATAAACAGTTTTTAATTGTTTAGGCATAATTGTTCGACGGTAGCGCAGTTGTTACAATGAGGCTGCAATTATGAATTAATGCAACTTCAGCAATGGTCAGTGCATCCGCCCGAATAGCGGAGGTTGTGAGTTCAAGTCCCGTCTGCTGCCAGGACCATGTGGATTTCTTTTCAGGAAAATTTTCTTTAGATTTTAACATCTAGCAGATAAATGCTTAAAAATGTTAAACTTCTGCTATTGTCAAAAATCAGATAGACGAGCAAATTGTGGGATCTTTGTTAATATTTATTTAATACCCTAACTTTACTAAAGTTTTATAAATTTATGAAGGAAGGAACAAAATAAAAACACTGGCCTATTCCCCAATCCACTTAAATCCATTGCAATGGTTGATGCATCTTTTTGCACTCTTATTTCGGGTTTAACCCCTGATCTAGGATTTAGTTCATTTAGTTAGCGGATCATCAATTAAGAATATAACAAAATAATTATATCAGATGTAGGTAAGTAGTCAGTCATCCGGTCCTATTACAATTCTTCTTTCATTTCACCCTAGGGCTCCTTTTAAAAATTCTAAATCTTTTGAGAATTATTGACAGTTTGTAGTTAAGTAACGTGTTTTAGTTAAGGTTTCAGTTACAAGTGTTTGTATTGTAGAAAGTTGAATTAAAAAAATAAAATCCGGCCAATCACAACAAACATTTATTTAAAAAAACTAAGCAAAGCACAGTGGGTAGGTATAATAAATAATAGATTCTAATCTTAACTAATAATATCACTATGTTACTTTTAAAACAATCACGAATTGGAAACAATTGCTTAATTAAGCGAAATTTTACGTACATTTCGTCGTCCCAAATACGGAACTAATTAAAAGGATCTCGTAGTGTATCGTAGGGATAGTGAAAAGTAAGAAAATTACAAAATAAAGCCGAAGGAAATTATTTAGAAGTGAAATCTTTTTTTTTTAATTTTTTAAGGTACTTGAAGGTCCTTTTGTAATAATTATTTTAAGGTATTTGGACCTCCAAATACCATCACGACTTGTACGAGCTTAATTAGTTCACCGTTGTTATGATACTTTGCTGTTTCCTCACTAAAATTAATATCTAATCAATCTACATAACAGGAATTCCTTAAGGTACCAATTATTCATAATAATTTATTTTAATACTGTTTTACATTGTGTGTTCTGAACTACGATGTTTAATTATTGTTGGTTCTGAAGCATTTTTTGACTTCTTTTTTTGCCTCAACAATCGTGGTGAGTGACCAAGTAAGGCTTTATAAAACCTGTATTTATATAGAAGTTCACTCTTTTACATATAATCTAATAAAAAACGAACTACTTGGCAGCTCCACTTTACATCCGCCAAGATAGTTAACTAAGTTGTGAAAACTTCAATCCAATCTTCATCATCAGACGTTCAGAGGCCAAAACACGAATTTTTGACATGCCCGTAACGTATCGTCATCATCAAATTTTGTATGAAAAAGCTAGTCTGTTCTTACATCCGATCCGGTGCTGCTTAGTTTTCATAGAAACTTTGATGATGTGGAATTACGTAGCTGTCGAAAATTCGTGCTTGGACCTCAGAAGAGTGTTTTATTAAGCACGTAGGAAAACACCGCGTTAGAAGATCCTCGACTTTGATTGTACTCAAAAGTTGTTATAAAATTTATTTGCATCTCCAATGATTGTTTTACGTGACAGCAGCTATACGAATTCCAACTTTATAGGTTCAATCATAAATAAACTTATCAACTACGACGATATCCTGACATTGGTATTCGTACTCGGTTTTCGCTTCTCTAAAGCTATTTGGTAACCATCCACATCTTTCATCATTATATCTAACTTGACCCTGATGTTTGGCGTATCAGTATTCTGAAGGTCTTGCACTACTTTGAAATCCCTCACTATTGCCGCGACAGCTATTTTGATAGACATCAAGGCGTATTGATAACCTGCAAACAGAAAACAGACTATGAATATTGAATCGGATATATAAGGTATGCCGTACATCTCATAAAACAAATACACCAAAAAGATAGGACAAATATACAATATAATCATTTATCGAAAATGTCAAATTTCATTAACAACTATAACATAGTAAATTATTGCGGTGATGTCGGAACAACAAATTATTGTTTAAAAAGTCAAATTCGATGTTGATTTCGTTCTATTCGCCGTAATAGTGAAATAACTTAAATTTGGGCCAAGAGATTTTGAACTAATGCTAATACTGTTAAACCTGACAAAAAAAAACATATGGAATCGTGACTTTCTCAAACGAAATAATAAAAGTTAATATTTAATAAATAAAGTTTGAGCTAGGTACGAAATGGCTGTATCTGCAGGAGTAAACACCCATTAATTCTCATTTAGCCCGTGTGATAGATCTCGACCCAATCTATTTCAGTAGAGTAGGCGTGTGCCGTAGCAGTGTGGACATTAATATGCTGATGATGTTGGGGTATAAAATATTCGACTTGCCTAGACAGTTTCTGGGGCCCTGGCTGAACGGCATATAGCTGCACACATGTTTCGGCAGGAACCTCTCTGGTAGAAAGCGGTCAGGGTCGAACTTCTCGGCGTCCGGCCCCCAGTGCTTCGGGTCCCGGTGTGCTCCCCAAATGCACACCACAACGCCAGATCCCGCGGGCAATACACGCCCAGACGCTAGAAATTGATTATATGAATAACTAAGCTATGGCCCCAAAGTAAGCACTGTAATGCTTGTGTGTTGTGATATGGGATACTAAGGTGAAACAATAGATTTGCAATACAAAGATATTTTTCAATGTTATTGCTAAAATATATAAATAAACAACAGCCATAGCTCGGGTATAAATTTCAGTGATCATCATACAAACTTTGCCCCTACCGGGATTAGAACCCTGGACTTGGAGTAGGCGACACCTTGGAAATCGGTGTACAATGCTACTTAAGCACGGTGGTTGTCATTTAAAGAATGTTATAACACAACCATTTCCTTTAATCGCATTTGACACGTCTAAATTTAATAGCCCTTAAGGGTCATTTTGTCTTACCCCATTGGCATAAAACAAAAATCTTATAGCAATGATATGTCATTAAGCAAATGTTTATATAAGGATCAAGTATGTAAGGCTCTTGCTGTGATATAAAGTTTTTGGATTACTTTTGATTTTGTTTAGTGATAATAAAATTGTTCTACTACACTATCGCTTCCTATCATCTTTTTGCTGATGACCTTCAGATATACACCCAGGCTCCGTTATCTAACCTCTCTAGCGCTATATCGGTAGCCAACGCGAATTTGTCTCTTATAAATAACCTTAAACCCTGCATAAACTTAATTAATAATTTTTGCAGAGTTTCGGAATTGGTAGTCCTTATTTTATTCCAGGATCGAATTTGATCATTTTCCTCCCATTATTTTAAACCGTACTACTATTCAATACTCAAAAACCGTCAGAAACTTAGTTGTTATGTTTGACCAGAGCTTCCCCTGGAAATGGCAGGTGGAGGCGGTCAGAGAAAAGTTGTTTGCTGCGTATGGTTTTTCCCTTAGTAACTTTTTACCGATCAGTACCAAAATCAACTTGGCAAACTCAATTTTGTTGTCCATCATCGACTAAGCTGAAGTTTGCTACATATTTCTGTCAAAGAATCTCCTCAATGAAATAAGAACGACTGCAGAATGTTTGCATCAGGTTCCTTTATAGTCTCAGAAAATTCCACCACCTGTATTACTCCGTAGTAAACTCAGTTGGTTCTCTATTCGCTGGCGCATATAAAATCACTGAAGCGCTAATTTTATAATCACAAAAGTTTGGTAGGTATATTATATTTTATCATACATGTTTTCTGTCTTTAGTGATGAGTACACTGAACATGAATATTCTCTGGGTTATATTGTTAATTGTACCAAGTTTAATGATACTGCTATAAGTGCACTAGTTTAAGATTAGTAGTACTGTACGTAGCTAAATTAAAATACAGGGTTACAGGGAAAGTCGTACTGAATATTAAAGGAGGTTATTATTTAGGTCATTACTGATGGATTGGGTCCTATGACATGGTGTCGGAAACTTTAGCGTTAAGGAGATATTCAGATTTTAAGTTTTTTTTTGAAATAATTAATTTTTTGACTTTTCATCTATTTTTTCGGGATTAGAGCTCCTAGGATCCATTTTATGATTTATTTAGTTAGAAGACACATCAATTAATCAAATTGATTAATAAAAAACTGAACCTACTACTAACAAATGGAAAAAAAACTGCCCAAGAACGGTTAGAATGAAAAAAATAACTAAGTATTTCTAACTTTGAAGAGATTTTTTTTAAAAATAAACTTATTTATTTTTAAAAAAAATCTATTAAATATACAAATAATTTAAAAAACTTCTACGTCTCCTTACCTTTTCAAAAAGGTATAACAATAGTTATTAGATAGCCAAGAACTTGACCAAATGATAGTTAAGGTAGCATAGGGTACATTTTAAGTTTTGAGGTATAAATAAATAAGAGTATAAATGGCTAAAATTTATAAATTAAACAAAATGATTCATGTTTTAAGGTTTTTTATAATTCATGTTCAACATGGCTGCCTCTATTTCTAACACACATTCTCAATATATTCCTTAAATTACTTTTAACGACTGAAGTTCGCAGGGTTCGCCTCATTTCGTTAGCCGCATCAATTATCTTTTGTTTCATTGACGCTACTAACAAATGTATCTATATTCTCAATCAGCGTCATTTGGTCGTACACCAGGCTTTTCATATGACCCCACACATAAAAAACCATTGGCGTTAAATCGAGGCTCCTCGCCGGCCATGCTATGGGTCCGCCTCGAAGTGCTCGAGCATGGTTGGACGAAAAGTACCCAAACCGATGAATTGGAAGAAGCGGACCCATAGCATGGCCGGCAAGGAGCCCCGATTTAACGCCAATGGATTTTTATGTGTGGGGTCATATAAAAAGCCTGGTATATGACCGAATGACGCCGATTGAGAATATCGATGTTCTGAAACAAAAGATAATTGATGCGGCTGACGAAAAGAGGCGAAACCTGCGAACTTCAGTCGTTAAAAGTAATTTAAAAACTTAATACTTGAATCATTTTGTTTTATTTATAAATTTTAGTCAATTATACTTCAAACTAAAAACGTACCCTTTGCTACCTTAACTATCATTTGGTCAAGTTCTTGGCTATTTAACAGTTATTGTTATACCTCTTTGTAAAGGTAAAGAGACGAAGAAGTTTTTTAAATTATTTGCAGAATAAGTTTCATACATTATTTTTTTAAAAAAGCTCTTTAAAGTTAGAAATATTCCGTTAATTTTTTCAATCTAACCATTCTTGGGGAGTTTTTTTCCATTTGTTAGTAGTAGGTTCAGTTTTTTATTAAACGATTTGATTAATTGATGTGTCTTCTAACTAAATAAATCAAAAAACGGACCCTAGGAGCTCTAATCCCTAAAAAATAGATGAAAGTCAAAAAATTAAGGATTATTTAAAAAAAACTTAAAATCTGAATATCTCCTTAACGGTAAAGTTTCGGACACCATGTCATACGACCAAATCCATCAGTAATGACCTGAATAATAACCTCCTGTAATATTCAGTACGACTTACCCTGTAACCCTGTATAATAATAATAATAAATGTTTGTTAGATTTCTATTTACAATAAATTACTTAATTCTAGAAATAACAAAAGGTATATTACTTATACTATAGCCTGAAGTAGGTAAAACATCTAGCAGTTAAATGCTTAAAAATAAATAAAAACATAACTATAATTGCTATTTCTTCTTTCAAATATTTAATACTTGAAAAAGTATTCATTTGACATTGTGGGTTACCAACAGTGTGAAGAGATGGCGCTGCCTTGCAGCTTAAGGCTAGGAAAATTTCAACGCGGCTAATAGGGCCGTGGTAGCATAATAGTCAGTGCATTCGCCCGGATTGCGAAGGGTGCGGGTTCGAGTCCCGTCCGCTGCCTGGTCCGCGTGGATTTTTTTCTAGTAAACTTTTCTTTAGATTTACAGGGATTTGCTTTTAGCCTTCATATGTAATTTGTCTCTATGTCTCATACAGCGAATTAGCCCTGGAGTAATCCAGGGCTTACTATTGTAATTTTTGATACATAATTTTACTAATGTAGTGCTTTTAGATATCGCTTGTTGTATTATTTACTAAGTAAGACATACTAGATTCTGTGTCATCGCAACAATAAACTGAGTCAAAATGCCACTTATTTCTTGTCTGAGTATGTGCATTTATTTTAGTAAATGTTTGCGTGCGTTTTAGTTTCGGAATATTACGATTTATGTTTAGTAGGACGGCTCTGAAATCGGTTATTGAGGAGTTAGTTACTAATGTCATTGATCGAAACTTGGATTTTATCATAATGTGATCTAAACAAAAGCCACTTTAATGAGTGGGAAGCATGTGCGCGGGAAGTAAGCCATGATACGAACATAAAAAATAATCCTGAGTAGTAAACTCATTACACTCTGTGTTTGGGACAGTCAGGTCTCCTATCTAATGGTGAACTCGTATACTTGATAAGACGTTTAATTACGTTTAATTACGTTTAAATTACAATAATTGAATGATAGAAAAAATTGTATGCGTATAGTGCGCCGTTTAATATTCGAATGCGCGGGTCTTCTTCGTGGCTTCTTTCACTGGCTTCTTTCACCCGTTACGTTTCGTTTTTCGTCGTTGTGTAAATTGGAGACACAAGCGTCGACATGGCCCCGGCCTTGGAAGCTCCTACTTAAAATCTAAAATCGTATGTCTTTATAGGAGTGGACATATCTTCGAGAACGCTCGTCGAATGATTCCCGATGAAGTGCGTATGTCAGCCACCCTGGAAACGCCGTCCGTTCCTGGGATCACTCGTTCTACACGCCCAAATCTCCATTGAAGTGGTGGTAGATTGTCTTCTTTGACGAGAACCAAACTGTCAAGGGCGATGTCATCTGCTTCCGTCTTCCACTTTGTCCTCGTCTGAAGCTCCGCTATATATTCTCTGGACCAACTCTGCCAGAAATGTTGCCGAAGTTGCTCCAGTCTCTCGTAGCGAGTCAAGGCATTAGTGTTTGCAGCAGTCAAATTCATCTCAAGTGGCGCAGTCAACGGTCGACCAATCAGGAAATGGGCTGGAGTGAGGGGATTAAAATCGGAAGGATCTGAGGAAATAGGGGACATTGGACGAGAATTCAGTACGGCTTCAATTTGTGTTAAAATCGTGCTAAACTCTTCGTAAGTTAGTCTCGCGTTCCCTACTATTCGTCGCAAGTGATATTTGCACGAACGTACCCCACTCTCCCACAAACCACCAAAATGAGGCGAATATGGCGGAATAAATTTAAATTGAATGCCATCGTTGCTTGCAAAATCAGAAATTTCATTAGTATTATTTTTTAAGAACAATGTTAACTCCTTCTCAGCACCCACGAAATTTTTACCATTGTCTGAGTATATGATATTAGTTTTACCTCTTCGACTAATAAAACGTTTCAATGCTAAGATGTAGTCATTAAAGTTAGCGTAGTGACAAGTTCCAAATGTATGGCCCGTGTAGTGAAACATATAAATAAACAAATATACGCCTTGGATAGACGAGACCATCCCCCCCTTTTATTTAAAACATAAACTGGTCCAGCATAATCAACGCCGG